TCTTATCCCTTCACACCCTCCAGGCTTTTAACATTCTATAAACAACATCCGTTCGTTTACCTTTACCAATGTGTCATTCAAAAACAGTTTAATAATGCGCCGAATAAGCACTAACATCTTCAAAAAACGTTTGGTTGCCGCAATTGCGTTTAAACTTCCGTGGGTACGATTACTGGATGAACGATTCAGTGTGAACGCTGAAGTTTTTTCTTTGACGGTGCTAGTGCTTGGAATTGCACCAACACCGTAAACGGTAACGTTACCGACACTGCGTGATCGCTGATGTGGACGATGCATACTGAACAAAGCCCTCTTCTTTTTATCGGAAATTAGTGAGCCATTGCCTTGCAGAGCAGCCAATTCATTAATCCGATACCCACTTTTTATATCGAGCACTATGGTCGGATGGTCTTCCATGGGTAGCTGATTACCGTTAATGGTATCTGCAACAGAAGACCGTATAATAACAGCGAAATATAGGGGAACCGTGTACACTCCAATATAATCTTAAATGGGTTTATAAACTGTACGACTGATAAAATTGCAATAATAAATGGTTTTCCTTTTTCTTCTTTTCTCTCCTTTTCAATTTTTAAAATTCTGTTTAAGAAGTACATCCACCGACCTGGAGCTACATATTTTGCTATTGTTCACACCGCCCCCGCTTAATGTCCGGAAATTTATCAGAATAAAATTAAGAAAAAAGTAAGGAATATGAAACACAAAAACCGGAGAACATAACTTTCTGATTCCCATTAATCATTTTAACAGTCAGCCTTCACTATCTAACAAAATACACATATATGTGATCAAAAGTGTAAACATTCATTAATTTAGTGACCTGCCGATTACTACGTAATCAAAACAAAAATTTCTTAATAGATGTTAAATTTCTCTGTAAATGAAATTCTAATTCCTTCTCTCTCCCCCACTATGTTTCCCAACATCCGTTTGTCCATGTCAAAAAACAACAATACTCCAAGTCGTTTAGTGGGACAATAAACTAGGTACTAATTTGTTATTGATAATGAGGATAGTTGGAACGAAGGTATAGTGACATGGCAACATTTACTTTGCTCTTTTAAATTTTTTCGGTCAGCTTTTTGCTTTCTGAAAGGAGTACCAAAAAATTTTAAACATTTAGGCAATAAAAAGCATGCCAAAATCATCAGCATCGCAAAAAAGTAAAAGAGCAAAGAAAAAACAACCTACTGATTAAGATAACCCTAATAAAAAAACCAACGCATCTGATATCACTGTTTTGCGTAAAAGAAAAATACCTTACCAAAAGCACATTAAACTGATCAACAACGCTAAACAGACAAGCAAAAAACAGCAAAAATCACGCGTTTTATGCAACAGCAGTCTCCTTGCACCTAAAAATAATTCCCCTTCTTTTGGCTATACTACAAACCACCCCACTGTTCTACTGCCCCCAGTGAAGTATGACGTTTTGCCGTTTTAAACTCATGAGTGGTTGAAACCACCAAGATTAAAAACTAAACTAAAATACCAAGTAAACAGTTTTATGCAACTTTTATGCCCGCCTTTACCCTTGTCAAACACCTTCTGTTCTACCTCGCGCAGAGCGTTTAAGCATACCGAACCCGCATCACCGGCAAAATTCCATGCCCCTCTTACTCCTTCTTGTTCCACCCTCCTTCTTCAGCAGCCATGAAAAAAACAGGAACTTACAGATTCTAATTCAAAAAAAAAAAACAATTTTGACCACCCCGACTCAACAAACTGCTCAATTTGCTGATATACTGCGATTTAATTAATAGTTGAAAAAGCAATAATTAAAATTAGAAAAAAAAAAAAGACAAAAAAGATATTAAATTAAAAAAATAATTATACTGCGGTTAAATACGGTGAATTCTAAATGCAAACAAAAAGCATGTAACTGTTAACATACTAAAAGATCATACCTTTAAAACACTCTATACTCTCCTGAAAAAAAAAAATGAAAATGCATTTCTAAACTTTCAAAACCGATTTTAAGTCTTTCAGTGCGGCAAATATAGTGAAAAGCGACCTAATATTGAAAACCCTAGCAAGGAATAAAAGAACACACGTTTAATTACCTTCTACAAATTTCAAATAATTTTACTTCCTAAAATCTTCAAAAGTAACAGGAGTAAACTACTCAATTATTTTTGGCTATTGTTCAAAGACCAATCTTTCAAGAAAAAATCCGGTCTTATCCTTTCTTTCTTCGCGCTCTTTACTTTCACTCCGACCTTATGTCACATTATACAAAAATTCTTAACCTTAGCCAACAACGCTTTGGTAGCTTGACGTTAAAAAATCAAAGTAAAAGACCGTAACAAAGCAGTAATATCCCCAAGGCAGTGATAAACAAACAGCTGGCTAAAACTTTAAACTAGGCGACAAAGAAATAGAGACACAGTTCCACAATTGAAGTACCTTGCTGAGAAAACTTTTTGAAAAACAAAATGTCAACAAGAAAAGCAAAAACAAACGCATGCTCATGAAATAAGATGTAGAACTGGTGCATAGAGACCTTATTTGAATATGCACACTAAAAAAGATGGTGACCACTAGGATACTCTCAAAAAAAAGGCCACTGTACTGCAATATGCAGTTGCAAAATGTCTGGCTAGCGGGTAACAACAGAAAGTAGAAATAGTGATCGCTTTTCTCAAAAGCAAAGAAAACAGAAAGTGATAATACAAGTAGAGTTAAACTTATCAATCCTGTGACTGCATTATGCCTTAATATGGTGACAGTTGGTACTGGTGGCTAAACCACTGTCACCACAACGGCCATTGTATAGGCTAAACACACTAAGACTAAAACAGTGGGCCGATGATGGTGGTTATTAAAGTTCAAGTTAATTCGACTATAACATACATTATTCCATCAACGAACTACAGCAAACAGCCAAGGCAAAAGAAAAAATGCACTAAAACAAAACTGTTCCAATCGAACGAGAATGGAAATCAAATTGACGTACCTATGCTGGAGGCGCTCAGCAATTTTCTGCCTGGAACTTCTTCGTTGTTGGCGTTCAACATCTGTTGTTTGTCACTACTATGAATCTCAGATTGTGCTTCTTTTTGGAGTGATGTCGACGTATCAGTGTTTCGATACGCACTGTCCCTAACTGATGCTTCACTGCTACTTTGGGGTTGCGGTTGCTGTTGCCGTTGTTGTTGTTGTTGTTGTTGCTGCTGTTGCTGACTAACTGCTGCTAAACCTTCTGTACCGATATTCGACAAATAGTTACGATTTACATCCAAGGATCTGCAAACACCTTAGTCAAAAAAGTGTTATCTATTATAGACGACAACTTCTTCTGAAAATGTTATTAACAGTAACAGAAACACTCAATAAGAAGAACACTGGAACTGCTAATTGACAAAAATTTAGAAAAACTCAGAATGTTCAAAAGCAGAAAGCATTTTTTCAAAAATACATACCGATGTTGCAATAGTTTACTAAAAGAATTAACATTTTGCAGAAGTATAAAAGATAAAATATTGAAGTGCAGGTACTGTTAGTTTTTCGCCATTCCCTCTCCCATCTCTCCTTCAACTCGCCGACAAATTATTGTTTTCATTTTAACTATCTTAATTGCAAAAAAAAAGTAACTTTAGTATGAAATTTATGCATAAAAATAATATTAATATCGCTGTTTCTGTTGCTCTTCTTCTGGCCATGTGAAAATATATGCAGAAAACAAATTTCCACGACAATTTCCTGTACCCCGTATTCAATGCGCATTTGGTCTGTCAAAGAGTGAAAATGTCAGAATTGTCAAACTGTTGCGTCCATTTCTGTTTTGCTATGAAGTTGTCCAAATGGCAGAAAAAAAAGTTCTTTTTTCTCTCCTTGATTTCCGAAATGACATCTATTGGACATTGAAAGTGCGACACAAATATTAAAAACTACCGCTCTTTTTTACTTCTTACCATCTTCTTCCTCGAATTTTAACCCGTTCAGATCTCAAAATTTTACTCAACAGATGATCCAAACTAAAAAGGTAATATAGGGCAAAACTAGCAAACAATAAATCAAGACAATGCTGAGTGGAATAAAAAATATGCCAAATTGAAATCCACTGATCAGACAAAAGCATAGCAGGCACAGAATAACACCTAAGTGGCAGAAGAGCAAACTGTTAGCGAAATAAGCCAAAAAATCCGGTAAAAAAATTTTTTTCCACGAAGGGCATAAAATAAGTTAAGAAATGGACAACAAAAAAACTTAAAAGCAATCATTTCTTCCGTTGTCCCAACAATAACAGTTCCAAACCCACTTTTTCAATGCAATAACAAAATACTTTTGGGTAAATGAGAAAGGAGACGAAGAGAACGATGAGGGTGGGTGAGGTGTTCAGCAAACAGAAACAAACTGAAAGTAAATAAAACGACTCTGAAATTGACTTTTTTCTGGACGAAAAAAAATCCCTTTGCGATAAGATTACCAAAGGGTTTGCATTATAAAAAATTAAGAACAGAAATTTGAGATTTCAGCTTCTAAATAAAAATTTAGATTGTGATGAAGCACCAGTTGAAGAACAAACCTTAATCCTACAACTCTAAGTACCAAGTATGTGACTTTAACTTGCTACACCCGCCAGACCATGAAATTTCTAATCTTGTTTTCCGTCAATAAACAAACTTCCAAAGAAACATAAGAAAAAAAAGCAAAGAAAAAAATGACAACAATAATTATAGTAATAATAAAAGTAATAAAAATAAAAATGATAATAATAATAATAATAATAATAATAATA